GGGACCGCTGGTTCGAATAAAAAAAAGGGCTGCTGGTTCGTGCGTATGGTGGGGAAGGAGAAGGACACGTTTATTTATATAGGTATAGCACCCATATATACCGCACTATAGTATTGCGTGGTATATATGGGCGCTATACCTTCCCACCCATTTTATGTTCAAATAAAGTGCGGTTATTCACCGCGCAATACATATTATGGTGCCCTTTCTCTTTTTTTACCTATTATAATTGTTTGAGTCCAAAAGAATCACATTTTGGTTTCAAATTGGTCTATCACTTGCTTTTCATGAACAATTTTGACAATAAGGAAATGTCTACAATTTGCAAAAAAGGAAACAACGAGTATATCCGACCAACAAATGTCGGGCAAATCTGCTTCAAAAATGTCAACTTCAGGTTGTTTCTTTAATTTCCAATTTAATTCACCAACTTGTATGAGGATCACCTTGCAAACCAATCTTTTCAAAATGCTGGAAAAAAGTGATATTTGGAACGGAGCATATCACTAGCACTAGTAAATGTACAGTAGGGCCAAGGTTACTTCAAATTATCAAGTTTATTTCATTTCTTCCCTAACAATAATTTCTATAGTGGAACCACGCACAACGCACTTGAGAACTTCTAATAAATTTCCCAACTCTTCAAAGAAACTTCTTTCACATCGTCGTTCATATAACTAAGCTCATCTTCAAGAGCATTGCAAAGACTTGCTTGACTTATTGGTCTTCGAAATTTAAAGATATTATTCCATGAATCTCAAAATAAATTTGTCCACTTTAATTTTAAAGTATTACAAATAAACTTGTACAACCAAATAAAAAATATTTCTACGCAACAATAGAAATTTACTCCTTATAATTATACTATAATTACAAAACCATTAGAACGTGACAATTAACTTGAGATAGGAATCTATTACTCATATGATTACTCAACTATCTGAAATTATCTTTCTTTCGTTTGTAACAACAAAATTACTTAACTATGCCTACAACTCTTAGAAGGTTAGTCAACTAGATTTTCCAAAATTTTGATCGCCAAATACCTATTTTAGCCGCTAAATTATCAACGTTCATCTTCTTTTTATTTTTTTAGATTTTTAATATTATAATTTTTTTTCTATTTTTTGTAATATATTATATACTTACCTTAGAATAAATAAATGTTATTTATAAATTAAAAAATAAAAAAAGGTATTTAAGCTAATGTTGGAATAACAAATTATTGAGCATAGTAAAAAGTTAATTAGAACAATTTGTTCATAATAATAATTTTTACATTAACAACAAAAATTCAAAATTTTATTTACAAAATTGAGAATGAAAGAAAATAAAAGTGTTAAAATATATATCCATGCATGTATTATAGAAAATAATTATTTAAAATAAAGGTATTTTTATAATATAAATTATATATTCTTAAAAATTATGATCAATTATGTTATTATTTCAACATTATATATGCTAGAAAAACAACTTTTTATTTTTTATTTTTAAATAAAATTTATTTTTTTATAGGTAAGTTCATAATGTTGATTAAAATAAACTTTTACTACCAAAGAAAAAATATTTCTGTGCAACAATAGAAATTTACTCCTTATAATTATAATTACAAAACCATTAGAACGTGACAATCAACTTGACATAGACGGTACATACAAAATCTTGAACATGCAACAAACTAAAAACCACAAATATTTGAGATATTCATGCAATATATATTCTCCGAAATTCCCATGCTTATTTGAACCACAAAATTTCTCCTTTTAATGCTTGCTGATGAACTCTGCAACGGCTTCTAAAAACTTTTCAGTTTCAGAAGCAGTTACAGGGTCAATTTCAACAGCAGTTTTGTTGAGATAAAAGCTATGTCCCACTCCATTATTGATAAACAGCTCTATATCCTTTTCCCCCTTTTCCATAGCTTCGTAAAACTCCATTTCAGTGTCCTTCATCAGATCTTTCTCCGCTACACAGTACAAATAAGGCGGCAATTTAAGCTCCTCCACCGCCGGCGCCGCCTCTCCCATCGGACATGTTATTGGATGATCCTTATTGCTCCCTACGGGTAAAGCTAACCCTAGAAATTTATCAACCATATCTAATGTTAAAAACGGCGTTTGCTCTTGTTCTAACTCCGATTTGCTCCGATAAGACCGCACGAACCCTGTATGGATCGGAATTGCGCCGGCGAGTCGTAGTGGAGATAAGTTTTCCTCGCCGGCTCTGACCGCGACTTGGTGGACTATGTTCCCGCCGGAGGCGTCTCCGATGAGGAATACTCGGTTGAAATCTGCGTAATTGTTGAGCCAGGGCTCGTGTCCTTGCTGCCGGGAGAGTTCCCGGAGCCAGAGGAGGGCGGCGAAACCGGCATCGCAGGCGGCAGGGAGGCGGTGCTCCGGCGCGAGGGGGAGGAAGACGGAGACGATGATTGCGTTGGCCACTCGCGCTAGGCGCGTGTAGACAGTGTAGTACATGAACCAATCGGCTTGGCTGATACAAAAGCCGCCGCCGTGGAAGTGAAGAATGACGGGAAGCTTATTGACGGAATTGTCTTTTCGTTCAGGTAAGTAGATGCGAAGACGGCTGCCGGAGTTTTCGTCGGCGACTACANATAAATACTATCAAGGTGCTTGATTTTATCATCGCTCTTAAAAATAATGAAAGTGAGACATATATCTTTTTAAAATTTATAACTTTTATTATCTTTTTTTAATTTCCATTCCTATACATATTTTGTACCAAATGATAATGTTGACCTCTCCTTTCACGGGAACAAATGAATGGAAAAAAACATAGAGAAATCAAATCATCTCTCTTTAATAATCTCCAAAATAGACCAAAAGGAAAGAAACTAAATCAAAAACTTATTACAGTAGTAATCTATGGACTCTAAACTGAACCAACATATGCAAGGAAACAAGAAACCAGAATCATATTTCACCGGGTACTAAGTAAGAAAAATTCATTAATTTGTTCTCACATGAAAAATAGTCAATAATAAAAAATAATACAAATTTATCGACCTGAAAAAAATTGAATCCTTGTATCTTTGTCAGCTACATAAACTACCCAACAAATCAATAAACAATAATATAAACAACATGAATCAGAGGTGTAACGACCAACCGGTCATTTTGAGAGTTAGAGCTCCGATCCCCTATTAACTGCTTCCCCCGTATCTATTTCTGCTATTGTGACTTACCGGAAAGATTCATTTTGAGTTTCGGAGTGTTTTAGGACACTCAATCCCTAAATGGGAGCTTAAGTCTTAAAATTTGGACCGTAATCGGAACTATGTGAAGACGACTCGGAATAGAGTTTCGTCGATTACATTAGCTGCGTTGAGTGATTTTGGACTTAGGGGAGTATTCGGATTGTATTTTTGAGGTCCATAGCTCATTTAGGATTGAAATGGTGAAAAGTTGAATTTTTGGAGTATTGGACCAGTAGTGAAAATTTTGATATCGGGGTCGGTTTCCGATTCCAGAAGTTGGAATAGTCCGTAGTGCGGATTATGACTTGTGTGCAAAATTGAGGTTAATCGGACGTGGTTTTGTTTGTTTCGTCATCGGTTGTCGAATTTGAAAGTTTCTAGTTCATTAAGTTTGGATTAGAGGGTGATTTGTATTTTTAGCATTGTTTGATGTGATTTGAGGGATCAACTAAGTTCATATGGTGTTTTAGAATTGGTTGATATGTTTGGTTGAGGTCCCGAGGGCCTTGGATATATTTCGGATGATCAACGGATCATTTTTGGACTTAGAGAAGTAGTAGATTTATGGTGTTTTGTTGCAGAAAATCCTTCATCGCGTAGAGCATCCGGGAAAGGCAGCTAAGTTGTTTTTCGCATTCGCGATGTTGCTCCCGCGTTCGCGAATATATGGGACTTTAAGCCTATGAGTTCGCAATATGGTCATTGCATTCGCGTAGAGGAATATGGCAGAGGGAGCTTCAGGCATTAAGCCCACGCATTTGCGAAGAGGTTCCCGCGTTCGCGAAGGGTCTGTCAGTGAAAGGTACACGTTCACGGGAGGCCCCTCGCGTTCGCGAAGAAGGAATTTCGGGTCAGTGGAAGATTGTTCATCGCGTTCGCGAAGAAGAACGCACAGACTTTAAAGTTCAAAAACGAGGGTTTGAGTTCATATCACAAAAATAGATTAAGAGCTCGGCAAAAGGCGAAATTTTGAGAGATTTTCAGAGGAAGTCATTGGGTAATGATTCCTAACTCCTCTTTGATTATATCCCACTAATCTATGCTTTATTTCATCATTTAATTTCTAATTTGGGGTGGAACAGTTGGAAAATTTGAGAAAAGTTCTTAGTCCGAATTTGGTATGTTTAGGCTCGTGAGTGAATGAGTATTCATAATTGTGACTTTTACTCAATTCTGAGATGTGGCCCGGGGAGGCTTTTTGGGCGTTTTTCTATTTTCTAGCCTTAGCTATGATTTCATTAGCTAAATTAGTTGTTTGTGACTATATTTACATTATGTAATTGATTTGGCTAGACTTGGGCTATCCGAAGACGGATATTCGTGGAAAGAGCATTATTTCGGATTGATTTAAACTTGGTTCGAGGTAAGTGGCTTGCCTAACCTTGTGTGGGGGAAACTCCCCTTAAGATTTGGTACTGTTTGATATATGAGCACCGTATACGTGAGGTGACGAGAACGTACACGGTCTATTTATTGTAAAACTTCATTTTTCACTAAGTCATAACCTGTTTTCTCATTATTGTACTACACTAGCATATGTAATTATCTTGTTTAGATTAGAAAAGTATGCCTACGTGTTTTAACTTCCTTTTTGAACTTTATACAGCATGTTTAGTGAAATTACCTGTTTTCTTTGATGTGAACTTCGTTTAAACTGTAGGTTTCCTTGCTGTAATTGTTGTTTATATTGATTGAGCTGCATATTTACGTTGAGACTACGGAATAGTATTCCGGGAGATCCCCATGTACTGCATATTTACTTTATGACTATGTAACGGTATTCTGGGAGATCCCCATGTACTTCATATTTACTATGAGACTACGGAACGGTATTCCAGGAGATCTCCCAATACAACATATTTACTTTAGGACTACGGAACTGTATTCCGAGAGATCCCCTGCACATTTACGTCTAGGACTATGGGACGTATCCTGGGAGATCCCCTGTTGCTATTATTGTGTTCTGAGTTGTTGGCTTTCATTGAATTCTATTCCTGTTAGATCTTCGTACTTATTTTACTATAATATTTCTTTCTGTCTTATTTCATTATATTGATACCAGTAGGACCCTAACCAGATCTCTTCACTACTCGACCGAGGTTAGGCTTGACACTTATCGGGTATCGTGGTGGTGTACTCATACCCTTTCCTGCACATGTTTTCCGTGTGCAGATCTAGGTACTAGTTATCAGCATCGAGTCTAGTTGTGTGGTTTCTGCTTTAGGAGACTTCAAGGTACATCTGCCGCGTCCACAAACTTCGGAGTCCCCTTCTACTCCCTTGTGTTGATTTCCCCCTTGTTTTTATCACGACCTAAACTGCCCTGTCATGATGGCGCCTATCGTGGAACTAGGAAAACCGACTCTTTTACCGAAACAACCCGATTTTTAAATTTAAAGATTACTCCAAGCTATTTAATTAATAAAACTTCATAAAATAAATCTGAATAACAAAGTGCGGAAAGAAAAGCCTGACATCGGGGTGTCACTAGTCATGAGCATCTACTAAGAACTGTTCGATAATACTAAGACTAATACAGTATGTAAATCCAAATAATATCTATAGGAAGATAGGAGGAAGAAAATCAGGGTTGTGATCGCCATGCAGCTACCTTGCTAGCTCCAACAGATCCGCAATAGATGAAATCAACACTCGCTAGCACGTCTAGCAACCCCTGGATCTACACACAAGGTGAAGCGAGTAATGTGAGTACGCCAAATCAATAAGTAATAAAAGTAAATAAAGACTGAGCAGAAGTGACGAGCAGTAAAACACATAAAGTCCACATCATGAAATATCAGAAATTACAACATGCATTCAAATCAACATGTAAGTCAAATCATCTCGTTTTTAAAATCCAGTTTCCGGTAAAATTCTTTTGAAGAAATTTTTCAATAGTTTCAATAGAGGCTCAATGCAAAAGAGAGTAAAAGTGATGAAAATCGTAAATAGTTCCTTGGGTAAATAATCAGTCATAAGCAGCCCCTCGGGCAGAACATCACTCATATACAGCCCATCTGGCAAACATCACAGTCACTGGTGTACAGCCCCTCGGGCATATCTAATATCACTCACTCAGGGTACCCACATTCACTGGGGGTGTGCAGACTCTGGAGGGGCTCCTCCTGCCCAAGCGCTATAATAAGCCACCTCGTGGCATAAATCAATCAGACCCTCAACCTCACATAATCATGAATCAGTAACAACCTACTGCGGCGTGCAGCCCGATCCCATAATATCCTCACATAAACAGGCCCTCAGCCTCACTCAGTCAAAAACCTCTCAAGCCACTTGGGCTATCAGTAAAAACAGGGTGTTCATCCCAAAATAACATTTTATATGCATAAAAATGGGGTAATGAAGACTGATTTATGAAATCAGTAAACATAGCATGACTGAGTATAAATTTTCAATCAAAATAGTGAGAGGATAATAAGAAAAGACCCATAAGGGTCCAAACAGCTCTAGCACAAGGCCCAAATATGACATTCAACTAATTTATAGAAATTCTTTCTAAAACACATAAGTATCATATAGTTTCAGTCAACTTTATAGTTGCTATGAGACAGACCAAGTTATAATCCCCAACGGTGCATGCCCACACGCCCGTCATCTAGCATGTGCGTTACCTCAAAGTAGTAAAGCGATGTGAAATCTGGGGTTTCATACCCTCAGGACTAAATTTACAATCATTACTTACCTCAAACCGGTCAAATCCCTACTCCGCGACGCCCTTGCCTCTGGAATCGGCCTCCAAACGTCCCGAATCTAACCAAAAGCAATAAAATGCAATCAATATAGGCCAAGGAACCAATTCCATACGAAAAACTATTAATTTAGACCAAAATCCCAAAATTTACCCAGACACGGCCCCGGGCCCACGTCTCAAAATCCGACCAAACTTCCAAAAGTGAAAACCCCTTTCACTCATGAGTCTATCCATACCAAATTCATCAAAATCCGACATCAAATGGTCCCTCAAATCCCCAAGTCATACTCTCCAATTCTCAAACCCTAACCCCTTATTTTCATCCCTAACTCTTACTAATTATATGCTTAAACAACTCAAAATCACCATAATCACGAGTATTGAGGTCAAGTAACTTACCTCAATGAAAAACCCCTTGATTCTCTCTTCAAAACCCTCCAAAAAGCTCCAAGTCCGAATAAAATTATGAAGAATACCCTAAATATTTGCGAAGTGTATAAACCTTCTACCCAGGCATCTCGCACCTGCAGCCCCTTTTATCGCATCTGTGTGACCGCACCAACGGTTTAAGCTCCACACCTGCAGAAATTACTTATCCGCCCAGACTCCGCCTCTGCGGTCATCATGTCGCTTCTGCAATGCCGCACCTACGGAAAATTCATCGCAGGTGTAGTTCTCACTTAAATCCCAGAAATTGCTTTTGCGGTCCAATCCTCAAAACTGCGGCCTCGCAGGTGTGTCCCACTCATTGCACCTGCGGTTACTCCCTCCTTAGCCTTGGCTGCTTCTGCATGCCCATACCCGCGGTTCCCACTCCCAGGTGCGGTTATGATAGTTGAGTGAAAACTTTAGCATTCATCAAATTCCAACCTTGTTCCGTCAACCACCCGAAATCAACCCGAGGACCTCGGAACCTCTACCAAACATACCAACAAGTCACATAACAACATATGAACTTAGTCGAACCTTCTGAACACTCAAAACACCAAATTAACCTTGGATTCAAGTCTAAGAACTTCTAAACTTCCAAATTCCACAAACGACGCCAAAACCTACTAAATCACCTCAGAATGACCTGAAACTTTGCACACATATCACAAATGACACTACAAACCTACTCTAACTTTCGGAATTCCATTCCGATCTCGATATCACAATTTCCACCGCCGACCAAAAATCGCCAAATTTCCAATTTCGCCAATTCAAGCCTAATTCTACCATGGACCTCCAAATCACATTCCGGACGCGCTCCCAAGTCCAAAATCACCTAACGGAGCTAACCAAACCATCCGAATTCACATCCAAGATTGGTTAATCATAAGTCAATATCCGGTTGACCTTTCCAACTTAAACTTCTAAATAAGAGACTAAGTGTCTTATTTCACACTAAAACTACTCCGGCCCTGAACCAACCAACACGATACGATGAAATATAGCCGAGGAACACATAAAGAAGCAGAAATGGGGGAAACGGGGCTATAATTCCCGAAATAATGGGTCGGGTCGTTACATCCTCCCCCTCTTAAACAAACGTTCATCCTCAAACGAGTTTAGAAACATACCTAAAGCCTCAAATAGATGTGGATATCTACTCCCATATCCCGCTCGGTCTCCCAAGTAGCCTCCTCCACGAGCCGACCTCTCCACTGCACTTTTACTGAAGCTATATCCTTTGACCTCAACATTCGGACCTGCCGCTCCAAAATAGCCACTAGCTCCACATCATAAGTCAAATCACTGTCTAACTGAACCGTGCTGAAATCCAAAATATGAGACGGATCACCGACATACTTCCGGAGCATAGAAACATAAAATACCGGATGCACACCCGACAAGGTAGGTGGCAAAGCAAGCTCATAAGCCACCTCCCCAATCCTCCGAAACACCTCAAAATTCCCAATGAACCAAGGGCTCAACTTGCCCTTCTTCCCAATAGAACCTTCTCTCCAACCATATAAGACACATCACGAACCTTTCTGTTAGCATAACTCTTTTGTCTTGACTGAGCTGTATGAAGCCGCTCCCGAATCAGTTTCACCTTGTCCAAAGCATCTTGTACCAAGTCTGCACCCAAAATCCTAGCCTCGCTCGGATAAAACCAACGTACTGGAGATCTACACTGTCTCCCATATAAAACCTCATATGGAGCCATCTGAATACTCGACTAATAACTGTTGTTATATGTAAACTCTGCGAGCTATAGAAACTGGTCCCATGAACCCCCAAAATCAATGACACAAGCGTGCAACATCTCCTCCAATATTTGAGTAATGCGCTCGGACTATCCGTCCATCTGAAGGTGAAAAGTTGTGCTCAACTCAACTCGAGTACCCAACTCTCACTGTACGACCCTCCAAAATTGCGATGTAAACTGAGTACCTATATCTGAAATGATGGAAATTGGGATACCATGCAGGCGAATAATCTCTCGGATATAAATCTCAGCCAACCGCTCTGAAGAATAGGTAGTACAAACAGGAATGAAGTTCGCGGACTTGGTCAGCTGATCCACAATCACCCAAATAGAATCGAACTTCCTCAAAGTTTGTGGGAGTTCAACTACGAAATCCATGGTGATTCGCTCCCACTTCCACTCTGGAATATGCTGAAGCAAGCCACCCGATCTCTGATGCTCATATTTCACCTGTTGACAATTGAGACAAAAAACTACAAAACCCACTATATTTTTCTTCATTATCCTCCACCAATCATGCTGTCTCAAATCCTGGTACATCTTCGCGACACCTGGAAAGATGGAATATCGCGAGCTATGGGCCTTCTCTAAAATCAACTCCCGAAGCCCACTACCTTGGGCACACATATCCGTCCATGCATCTTCAATACCCCGTCATCACCAATAGTCACATCTTTGGCATTGCGTGCTGTACTCAGCCCTTGAGGACAAGCAAATAGGGATCATCATACAGGTGCTCTCTGATACGATCAAACAAGGAAGACCGAGAAACGACACAAGCTAGGATCCAACTAGGCTCCAAAACATCCAATTGGCCAAAGCCTGAACATCAACTGCAAGAGGTCTCTCCCCAACAGGAATATATGCCAAACTGCCCATACTCACCGTCTTCCTACTCAAGGCATCGGCCACCACATTGGACTTTCCCGGATGGTACAAGATAGTAATATCATAGTCTTTTAGCAGTTCTAACCATCTTTGTTGCCTCAAATTGAGATCCTTCTGTTTGAACAAGTGTTGGAGGCTGCGATAATTAGTAAACACCTCACAAGACACACCATAGAGATAATGCCTCCAAATCTTCAACGCGTGGACAATTAAAACCAACTTCAAATCATGAAAGAGGTAGTTCTTCTCATGGGGCTTCAACTGACGAGAAGCATAAGCAATCACTCTACCCTCCTGCATCAACACACACCCAATGCCTACCCTAGAAGCATCACAATTTACTGCATAAGAACTTGAAGCTGATGGAAAAACTAACACTGGAGTTGTAGTCAAGGTAGTCTTGAGCTTCTGAAAGCTCGCCTCACACTCATCCGACCACCTGAAAGGAGCACCCTTTTGGGTCAATTTGTTTAAGGGCGATGCATTAGATGAAAATTCCTGAACGAACTGACGGTAATAACCCGCCAACCCAAGAAAGCTACAAATATCTGTGGCTAAGGACAGTCTGAGCCAACTCTGGACCGCCTCTATCTTCTTCAGATCAACCTGAATACCCTCACTGGACACCACGTGCCCCAAGAATGCCACTGAATCGAGCCAAAACTCACACTTGGATAACTTTGCATAAAGTTTCTCCTCCCTCAACCGCTGCAATACAACTCTCAAATGCTCAACATGATCCTCCTGACTACGCGAGTACACTAGAATATCATCAATGAATACAATAACAAATGAGTCAAGATAAGGTGAAAACACATTGTTTATCAAATGCATGAACGTCGCTGGGGGCATTGGTCAGCCTCAAAGACATCACAAAAAACTCATAATGACCATATCGGGTCCTGAAAGTTGTCTTAAGAATGTCTGAGTCCCTAATCTTCAACTGGTGATACCCTGACCTGAGATCAATCTTGGATAACACCCTCGCTCCCTGAAGCTGGTCAAATAAATCATCAATATGAGGCAAAGGATACTTGTTATTGTGACTTTGTTCAACTTCCTATAATCAATGCACATCTTCACTGTGCCATCCTTCTTCTTCACAAATAGAAAAAGCACACCGTAAGGCGACACACTAGGCCGAATAAACCCTTTATTAAGGAGTTCCTGAAGCTGCTCCTTCAATTTCTTTAACTCCGCCGGTGCCATACGATACGATGGAATAGAAATGGGTTGAGTGCCTTACACCAAATCAATATAGAAGTCAATACCTATCCATTAGCATGCCCAGCAGGTCTGCAAGAAACACATCTAGAAAATCCCTCACCACTAAAACTAAATCAATGGTAGGAGTCTCTGCACTGACATCTCTCACAAGGCAAAATAAGAAAGACAACCCTTCCTAACCATCCGTTGGGCCTTCAAAAATGAGATCACTCTACTGGGAACATAATCCGTCGAACCTTGCCACTCAATCTGTGGCACCCCCGGCATAGCCAATGTCACCGTCATAACGTGACAGTCCAGAATTGCATGGCATGAAGACAACCAATCCATACCCAATATCATATCAAAATCAAACATACTAAGCAACAAAAGATCCACTCGGGTCTCCAAACCCCCAATAGTCACCACACAAGACCAATATGCGCGGTCTATAATAATAGTATCGCCCACCGGAGTAGATACATGAACAAATGAAATAAGAGACTGGCGGGAACCACCAAACATACTGTGACAACCTACTGGTGCTGGTAATAGGGACTGAAGGGAACCCCTAGCACCGGGATGACTGGTAGAAGAACCTGGCATTAATGAGTCGTGAACTGATAGAGCATGGGACGAACTCTAGGCTGGGAGGGCACTAAGTGATGCATGGCCCTAATAAGAACTATGAGAACAATGGCCCGATGATGCCCCATGATGAACTAGGCGAGCTGACTAAGCATGTCTAAATGGATGGCCTCTCCCGTGCTGAAACTGACCCCCAAGAGGAGCACCCCCAAAACTACTAGATCCACTAGGCCTCTTGGACTCCCTATCTACTCACTCTTGACGGCAAATCAACTCTATGTCCCGAGCAATGTCAACAACCTCCTCAAAAGAAGCATCAGACACACTTTCTCTTGTCATAAGAATCCGTAGCTGGTATGAGAGGCCATCAACGAACCTCCTAATCCTCTCCCTATCTGTGGGAACCAATCAGATATCATAACGGGCTAACTCAGAGAATCTCATCTCATATTGTATCATAGTAATATCATCGTGATGCAACTTCTCGAACTACCTGTGCAGCTCCTCTCTACGAGACTGCGGATCATACTTCACCAGAAAGAGAACGAAGAAATGTTGTAGGTAAGGGGTGACGAACCAATAGGCCTACGCCTCTCATAAGCCTCCCACCAAGTAAAGGTAGTTCTAGAGAACTGAAAGGTAGTGAATGAGACCCCACTAGTATCCAAAATGCCTGTCATATGTAGAATCCTCTAACACTTGTCCAAGAAACCTTGGGCATCCTCGCCCTCTGTACCACTGAAAGTCAGAGGCTGAAGTCTACCACTCTCCAATCTATGTTACTCGTCATAAGGCATGATTGGTACCACATAATCTTGAGCAGGTGCAACCACTTGGGCTGGTGGTGCCTCCGGTGTTTGCTGTCCTTGAACAACCTGCTCGAGTGTATGGGCAATAGGAATTTGAGTGCCTCCCCCGCCTAGGAAGTAGCTGGTGTAGTAGAAACAACAACCGCCTAAGCAAGACTAGTGCACATGGTTAAGATCTGAGCTAAGGTCTCTTGAAGACCTGAGATAACAATAGGAATAGTCGGTGCCTAAGCTGGTCCCGCTGGAGCATCCACAACTGGGACATGATCAAGTACTAGGGCGGCTGGTAGATCTGCAGGTGCTACCCTAGCTGTTATGCGAGATTCACTACCACGACCTTGACCTCAGCCTCTTGCAGTCCCAACTGGTGGTACTGGTGGCTGTCCATCCTGATTGGTAGCACGTGTTCTCATCATCTATGAGAGAATAGAATAATAGAAGTTTAGTTACCAGAATCAATACATTCGCACGACAAGAATTCAAGAATATGAAGTATTCCTAAAGGTTCTACAGCCTCTCGAAGATAAGTACAGATGTCTCCATAATGATCCGCAAGATTCTACTAAACCCACTCATGACCTGTGAGACCTATGTAACCTAGGATCTGATACCAACTTGTCACGACCCAGACTATCCTGTCGTGATCGCGCCTATCATGGAACTAGGCAAGCCAACTCTTTTAAAAAAACAACCCAATATTTAAATTTAAAGATTACTCCAATCTATTTAATTAATAAAACTTCATAAGATAAATCTGAATAACAAAGTGCAGAAAGAAAAGCCCGACATCAGGGTATCACTAGTCATGAGCATCTACAAAGAACTATCCGATAATACTAAGACTAATACAATTTGGAAATCCAACTAATAACATATATATAAAGACAAGAGGGAGAAAGGCAAGGCTACAATCGCCATGCAACTACCTTGCTAACTTTAACAAATCCGCGACAGATGAAATCAACACTCGCTAGCACGTCCAGCAACTCCTAGATCTGCATACAAGGTGAAACGAGTAATGTGAGTACACTAACTCAGTAAATAATAAAAGTAAATAAAGACCGAGCAGTAGTAACGAGCAGTAAAATACAGAAAGTCCACATCATGAAATCTCAAAAATTACAACATGCTTTCAAATCAGTACATGAGTCAAATCATCTCATATTTAAAATTCTATTTTCGGTAAAAATCATTTGAACATATTTTCAATAGTTTTAACAAAGGCTCAATGCAAAAGAGAGTAATAGTGATGAAAATCGTAAACAGCCCCTCGAGCAAAACATCACTCATAAGCAGCCCCTCGGGCAGAACATCACTCATGTACAGCCCCTCGGGAAAACCTCACAGTCACTCGTGTACAGCCCCTCGAGAATATCTCATATCACTCACTCAGGGCACTCGCACTCACTGGGGGTGTGCAGACTCCGGAGGGGCTTCTACAGCCCAAGCACTATAACAAGCCACCTCGTGGCATAAATCAATCAGGCCCTCAACCTCACATAATCATGAATCAGTAACAACGTGATGTGGTGCGCAGCCCGATCCCATAATATCCCCACATAAATAGGCCCTCGGCCTCACTAAGTCATAAACCTCTCAAGCCACTCGGGCTATCAGTAAAAATAGGGTTCTCAACCCAAAATAACATTTTATATGCATTAAAACGGGGTAATAAACACTGAGTTATGAAATCAGTAAACATAACATGACTGAGTATAGATTTTCAATCAAAACAGTGAGAGGATAATAAGAAAAAGCTCCTAAGGGTCCAAATAGCTCTGGCACAAGGCATAAATATGGCATTCTGCCAATTTATAGAAATTCATTCTAAAACACATAAGTATCATATAGTCTCAGTCAAATACGCAACTTTATAGTTGCTATGGGACGAACCAAGTCACAATCCCCAACGATGCACGCCCACACGCCCGCCATCTAGCATGTGCGTCACCTCAAAGTAGTAAAACGATGTGAAATCCGGGGTTTCATACCCTCAAGACTAGATTTACAATCATTACTTACCTTAAACCGATCAAGTCTCTACTTTGTGATGCCCTTGCCTCTGGAGTCAGCGTCCAACCGTCCCAAATCTAATCAAAAGAAATACAATGCAATCAATATAGGCAAAGAAACCAATTCCATACGAAAAACTATCAATTTAGACAAAATCCCAAAATTTACCCAAACCCGGCCCCGGGGCCCATGTCTCAGAAATCGATAAAAAATACAAAACTAAAAACCTCTTTCACTCATGAGTCTATCCATACCAATTCATCAAAATCCGACATCAAATGGTCCCTCAAATCCCAAAATCAAACTCTCCAATTCTCAAGCCCTAACCCCTCATTTTACCCCTAATTCCTACTAATTACATGCTTAAACAACTGAAAATCACCATAATCATGAGTATTGAGCTCAAGTAACTTACCTCAATGAAAATCCCCTTGATTCCTTCTTCAAAACCCTCCAAAAAGCTCCAAGTCTGAATAAAATTATAAAGAAAACCCTAAAATTTTGCAAAGTGCTCCTTATATACCTTCTGCCCAGGTATCTCGCATCCGCAACCCCTTTTATCGCATCTGCGTGACCACACCTGCGGTCCAAGCACCGCACCTGAGAAAATCACTTATCCGCCCAAACTCCGCATATGTGGTGATCATGTCGCTTCTGCGATGCCACACCTGCGAAAAATTCGTCACAAGTGCGGTTCTCAATTAAATCCCAGAAACCGCTTCTGTGGTCCAATCCTCGCACCTACGGCCTCACAGGTGCGCCCCACTCATCACACCTACTGTTCCTACCCTCCTTAGCCTTGGATTCTTCTGCAATTTCTTTTCCTCTTCTGCGGGCCCGCACTTGCGGTACCCACTTCGCATGTTCGGTTATGAAAGCTGAGTGAAAACTTCACCATTTGTCAAATTCCAGCCTTGTTCCGTCAACCACCCAAAATCAACCCGAGTCCCTCTAGACCTCTACCAAACATACCAACAAGTCAAATAACAACATACGAACCTAGTCAAACCTTCAAAACACTCAAAACAACATCAAAACACAAAATTACCCTCGGATTCAACCCTAAGAACTTCTAAACTTCTCAATTTTGCAAAGGATGCCAAAACATACTAAATCACCTCTGAATGACCTGAAATTTTGTACACACATAAAAAATGATACTATGAACCTACTCAAACTTCCAGAATTCTATTCTCTCTTCGATAGCAAAATTTCTATTGCCAATCAAAAATTGCCAAATTTCCAATTTTGCCAATTCAAGCCTAATTCTACCTTGGACCTCCAAATCACATTCCGGACATGCTCCCATGTCCAAAATCACTTAACTGAGATTGTTTACTCATAAGTCGACACTTGGTTGACTTTTCCAACTTAAACTTTTGAATAGGAGACTAAGTGTCTCATTTCACACCGAAACCACTCTGGACCCGAACCAACCAATAGTATACGATGAAATACAGCTGAGGAACACATAAAGAAGCAGAAATGGAGGAAACGAGGCAATAATTCACGAAATGACCTGCCGGGTCGTTACAGTTTTCTTCAGACATAAATGTATAGAGCACTTATAAATTCTTAGAAGCTTTTGACATTGCGACATTCCTGGTTTGGGGAAAGATGACTATTGTATATGCCGAGTGGCACCATTTGTGCTTATTAACTATATCTGTTAACTGTTATCTTTGATTTTTTTATGTCGTTTTCGCAAATACTAGGCTTACCTAGTCATAGTGTAACGACCCAGCCGGTTGTTTCATGAGATACCACTCTATTTCTCCCATTTCTGCTTTTTATTGCCTTATCAGCTGTATTATATGTTATCGCGTTGGTTGGTTCGAATTGGGAAAGGTTTTGGTAAGGTTTGAGACACTTAGTCTCTTTTGAGTAAACTTAAGTTGGAAAAGTCAACCGGATGTTGAATTATATGTGTTTTGGAGGTTCGGAGTAGATTTAGGCTTGAATTGGCAAAATTGGAATTTTGGCATTTTTCGGTTGATAGGTGAGATTTTGATATAGAAGTCGGAATGGAATTCCGAGAGTTGCAGTAGGTCCGTTGTGTCATTTGGGATGTGTGTACAAAATGTTAGGTCATTCGGACGTGGTTTGATAGACTTTTTGATCAAAGGAAAGATTTTTGGAACCTTAGGCTTGAATCCGATGTCATTTGGTTGATTCAATGTTGTTTGAAGTGTTTTTAAGATTGGTATAAGTTTGGATAGTAGTATATGACTTGTTTGTGCTTTTGGTTGAGGTCCCGGGGGCTTCGGGGTAATTTCAGATGGTTGATGGGACATTTTGGAGTTGAGTTTGGCAGTTGAAGTTTATTGTTGATGTCATAACCGCACCTGCAATTGGGAGGCCACAGGTGCGATGCTCGCAGAAGCGGAAGGCAAGCCGCAAAAGCGGCCAAGAGGGAGGTCAGCTGGAACTGCAAAAGCAGCTATTGAAGCACACCTACAATAGCGCAGGTGCGGATGTTTGGTCGCAGATGCAGAAAATGGTGGATATGTGAAAACCGCAGATGCGATCACGTAGGTGCATGTTTGGGACCGCAGGTGCGGTATTCCTGGGCTTGAAAGTATATAAACTCTCCTTCGTGATTTTTAGATTTTCTTCACCATTTTAAAATCAATTTTGGAGCTTTTTGGGGGATTTTGAATAGGGAATCCAAGGGAACTTCATTGAGGTAATATTTTTTAACATAAAACTCGTTCCTATGGTGTTATTTCATTGATTAGGCTTGAAATTTATGGAAATTGGTGGGTAAATATTGAAGAAACTAGGGCTTGAGATTGGAGACCTTTGATTAAGGATTTGAGGGGTCATTTGTGGTCAGATTTTGGTACTTTTGATATGGATGAACTCGTGGGAAGATAAGGAGTTTATTTATGTAAATTTTAGCGAATTCGGAGACATGGGCCTAGGGTCAAGTTTGGTTAATTTCGGGATTTGTATTGTAATTTAGTTACTTTTGAGTGGAATTTGTTCCCTTAGCATATTTTGATGGCTATGTACTAATTTTGGTTAGATTTGGAGCATCCGGAGGCCGATTCGAGAGGCAAAAGCATTGCGGGCTAGAGTTTGGACCGGATAGAGGTAAGTAATGATTGTAAATGTTGTCCTGAGGGTATGAAACCCCGGATTTCACATCGTTGTGCTACTATGAGGTGACGCACATGCTAGATGACGAGCGTGGGGTCATGCACCGTTAGGGATTGTGAATTAGTCCGTCCCGTATGACTGTTTAACTACGTATTTGATTGAAAACTTTTTGCTATCATCATGGTTTGGGTTGAATGCCATATTGGGCCTCGTGTCAACTGTTTGGACCCTTAGGGGATTTTACTACTATTTCCTCACTGTTTTAACTTTGTATTTGTACTCAGTCATGCTATATTCTACTATTTTCACAACTAAGCCATCTTTACTCGTTTTTGATATTTTAAATGATATTTTGGGACTGAGCATCACGTTTTACTATTACCCGTATGGCTTGTGAGATTCTGACTGAGTAAGGCTGAGGGCCTGTGTTACGAGGATACTGTTGGATCGGGCTGCGCGCCGCGGCATCATTATATTGATTCATGATTATGAGGCCGAGGGCCTGAGTTGTTACGCCACAAGGTGACTTGATTTGAGGCCGAGAGCCTATTTGATTATGCCACTAGATGGCTTGTTATTGCGCTTGGGCCGTAAGGGGCCCCTCCCCGAGTCTATACACCCCTAGTGAGCGTGGGTACCCAGTGTGAGATGTGATATAGCCCGAGGGGCTGATATTGTTCCATGTTATTGCTCGAGGGGTTGATACGAGTGATTGTGAGATAGCCCGAGGGACTAGTTCTGTTGGTATTTTTCCCAAGGGGCCGATATATGTTTTCTATCTTTTCTCCCTGTTTTCATTCACTCGTTGAACTGCTAAAAGATGTTTTAAAAAGGTTTTTACTGAACTAAGGTGTTTCTACAAGCTTTAACTATCTTATTGCATTACTTTGATTTTATTCTGCCTCGTAGCATTTTGTTGTGTCTTACGTATTTTTTATCACTCAGCTGCCTTTACTTTTATTACTTACTGAGTTGGCGTACTCACATTACTCCCTGCACCCTGTGTGCAGATCCAGGAGTCTCGGGTCACGCTAGCGAGGGCTGATTGCTTCCAGCAGGCTGTTCGGAGTTCACTAGGTAGCTGCTCGGCGTTCGCAGCCTAGTGCTTCTCCCTCCTATCTTTACTTTCCTTTGTACTAGCTCTATAATAGACTGTGTAGTCCTTTTTCATACTCTTAGATAGCTGTTTAGATTCTCATGAATGGTGACACCCCGAAGTTGGGCTGTGTTGTTTCTGCAATTGTTCTATTTCACTCTTTATTTGGGATTTATAGAATATTAATGACTTCAATTAAATTATTATAACTGTTTAATTGATATTGAGAGTTGGTGTCGGTTGACCTTGTTTCACGATAGGGTCCGATTTAGGGTCGTAATACGTAGAGACTAGGTGCCTTCACGATAATTCACAAAGGGAAAAACTGGGTCGTAACAAGAGGTAAAACAAAAAGGCCATAATAAAGAGGAATTAAAAAAAGTTTCATTTCTTCCATACTTACTAGGAGTCTTGAAACATATGGTTAATACATTATTGTTGTTGGTATGTTGGTGTTATCAAAACAAATGGGTTACGTTTTTTTGCCTCTATAGGAGTGTATCAAAATAAATTTATGAATAGCTTGTAGAAAGGTCTTAAAAGAATGAAAAGTCACGATTTGTTTCTTTAGCTTTGGGAAGTAATTAACTAATTATTATATTTGGGAAATGATGATTTGTTGCTTTTAGCTTTGTAATTGAATGGTTGTGACTATTAATAAAGGGGTATGAAGCAGTGAGTTGGGGTTGTTTGCAACGTTAATTTTTTTCTTTATTTTATAAATAAATTATTTATATTATTTAAAAGGGTAATTTAGTAATTCAACTTTTAACTTTTATTCTTCCTACTTTTATAATAATATAATAGGTATATCCGCATTTAAGAGCACGAAGTGCTAGGGCTACAGGGTCGGGTTCTTTTGGGGATAGATGTAATGACCCGGCCGGTCGTTTTAAGAATTTATGCTCTGATCCCCTATTAACTGCTTTTCCCATGTTTGTTTCTGCTATTTTAATTTGCTGGGATGTTTAGTTTGAGTTTCGGAGTGTTTTGGGACACTTAATCCCTAAATGAGAGTTTAAGTTTTAGAATTTGGAACGTAGTCGGAGCAAAGTGAAGACAACCTCGGAATGGAATTTTGTTTGTTCCGTTAGTTATGTTGGGTGATTTCGGGCTTAGGTGCGTGTTCGGATTGTATTTTGAAATTTTCGGTCGATAGTGAGATTTTGATATCGGGGTCAGAATGGAATTCCGGAAGTTGGAGTAGCTCCGTAGTATGGAATGTGACGTGCTTGCAAAATTTCAGGTCATTCGAACGAGGTTTGGTAAACTTTTTGATTGAAAGCGTAATTTGAGAATTTTTGGAGTTCTTAGGCTTGAATCCGATGTTAAATTGGTGTTTTGATGTTGTTTTGAGCGTTCCAAAGAATTGAACAAGTTTGAATGATGTTTTAGGATTGGTTAACATGTTTGGTTGATGTCCCAGGGGCCTCGGATGCTCAACAGGTCATTTTTGGACTTAGAGGAATTGCACAAAAATTGCACCAACCTAGTTCCGGTTTCCTTCTTCGTATTCACGAGTGGGTTCTCGTGTTCGCGAAGAGGAGCTGGGGCTGTGGGAGGTTTAATGCTTTGCGTTCGCGAAGGTGCTCCCGCGTTCACGAAGTGGGAGGTCTTATACCTACGCGTTCACGATGATGGTCCTGCGTTCGCGTAGGAGGAGGAAATTGGTTACCACGTTCGCGACCAAGGCATCGTGTTCACGATGAAGGAAAATGGAACCAAGCGGAGTTGTACTTTGCGAATGCGAGGGTCCTTCCGCGTTCAAAAAGAGGGAAATACCTGGGCAGATTTTAAAAATCCAAATTCGAGGGTTTAAACCATAATTCATATTTTGGACTTGGGAGCTCAGGAAATTGTGATTTTTGAAGAGATTTTTACCAGGGCGATTTGGGTAAGTAATTCCTACTCGGTTTAGACTAATTTCCATAAATCTACACTTAAATCTATCCTTTAATTTCGAATTTATAGTGGAAAATTGGGGGAAAGTTCTTAGGCATAAATTTCGAGATTTGATTGGGGGTTTGACATTGGATTTGGATAATTTTGGTATGGTTAGACTCGTGAGAGTATGAGGATTCTGAAAATATAAATTTTACCCGATTTCGAGACATGGGCCCGAGGGGCATTTTGGTTATTTTACCTAATTTCGTGTTTTAGCTTAGAATTTATTTGTGGAATTAGTTACTTGAAGCTATATTTACATTATGTAATTGAATTGAATAGATTTGGGTCATTTGGAATCGAGTACTCGTGGCAAGAACGTAGTTTCGGGTTGACTTTGAGCCGGTTCGAGGTAAGTGGCTTGGATAACCTTGTGTGGTGGAACTCTCCTTAGGATTTGGTATTATTGATATTTGAAATGCCTTATACGTGATGTGACGAGTGCGTACTTGTGCTAATTGTTGAAAAATCCGATTTTCATTAAGTAATTACAATTATGTTTCTTCTTCATGTTTATACTGCTTGCAATTTAAGCCTGTTGTTAGCTTAGGGAAGCAAGTCTAATTGACTTAATTGCTTTACTTGCTCAAACTGCCTTATTTGGATTACGTGCAGCATGCTAGGCTATAATACTTATTTTACCTTGGTATGAAATTTGAATTGAACTGTGTATTCTTCTTGTTTACTTTGGGACTACGAGACGGTACCCTAGAAGATCCCCCTATATGTATACTTTGGGACTACGGAACGGTATTTTGGGAGATCCCCCTATACATTTACATTGGAACTACGGGACTACACCCGGTAGATTACCCCTGTACTAAATATTTACATTTGCGACTAAGGATCGGTATTCCGAGAGATCCCCTCGCACTATGAGTTGGACTATGGGATGGTAACACGGGAGATCCACTGGATATTTATATTTGGGACTACAAGACGGTATCCTGGGAGATCCCCGATTGTTATCTTTGTGTTGATCTGTGTAGTAGTTGTTGCTGTTCTTTCTATCCTATGTTACTTTTACCGTTGCACTTATTTATACTATCTTGTTCTACACTGTTAAACCTTGTATTTCATTTAACCTCTGTAGGGCCTTGACCTTCCTCGTCAATACCCGACCAAGGTTAGGCTTGGCACTTACTGAGTACCGTTGTAGTGTACTTATGCCCTTTCTGCGCATGTTTTTCATATGCATATACAAGTACTTCCACTTAGTCTTATCACGTTTGAGGCGAGGCGCTATTGAAGAAATTTCGAGGTATATCTGCAGTGTCCGCATACCGAAGAGTCCCTTTCTATTATCATTATT